TTTTTTTTTTTTTTCAGACTTTCTGGATTTCTTCCTTTCTTTTCCCACAGCATCTTTTTTTTGTAGAGCCCTAATTTGATTGCTGGTACGTGAGCTGGTAGCTCTCCAGGATTTTGAGCAGCTGGCGTCATTCTCCTGCTATCAGGATCATGTATTTGTATGCTACTGAAGAGTTACTATCTAATATTATCTGTGACATCAGCCATTTAGTGCTCAAAATATGATTTGGTAAATATTTCTGGAAATAATTCCCATCTAAAGTAAGTAAGTAAATAAATAAATAGATAAGAATTTGGGGGCAGACTCTCATTATATATAGCACAGGCTGGCCTTAAACTTGTTATTCTGCTGTGTCAGCTTCCTGAGTAGTGGCTTAGGTATGTGCCTCTATACTTCGATCATTGATTTTTCTGTATTTGTTCCAAAGGGAAATGGGAAAGGGGCATGTTTTTGGCAGTTTCTTCACCTCTTCTACACGAGACGTAGGTGTTTGGAAGTTTCTTGTTAAGATTTTATGATCAGTTGGTTACTGTGAGAATTCTGCCAACTATCCCATTCATACATTCTGGAACTAGGGAAATAACCGTGGGCTGATTTCAGGTACCCACTTAATATAATATATTCAAGACCTAATATAAGTTGCTCTTCAGCCAGAACATTAATCACCTGACATCCATAAGCTTTAACTGGAGGGCCACAATGCTTCTGGGGAGCTCCTGGAAGCAGTGCTAGTTCAGAACCAGTATATAGTAGATCCTGCAAAGTCTGATTGTTACCTTTCCCCCGTGTACACTTACCCTTGTAAGGGCTGCGGGTTCTTCTGGGGAAGGACTGGGGAAAGGCTAACAGTAAAACTTCTAGTTATTTATCTTAGTCAGTGTTCCATTGCTGCGTAGAGATACTACAACCATGACAACTCAAAAGAGAAAGCATTTCATTGGGCTCACCTTACAGTTTCAGTTTCAGAGGTTTAGTCTGTTATCATTTAAAGGAGCAAAGAGCATACAGACAGACTTGGTGCTAGAGAATGAAGTTGAGAGTTGTATTCTGGATTTGCAGGCAGCAGGAAGAAGGGAGCAGTTGGGCCTGCCTTGGCTTGGGCTTTTGAAACCTTAAAGCCCACCCACTGTAACACACTTCCTGTAAGAAGACCACACCTACTCCACAAGGTCACACCTCCTCATCCTTCTCAAGTAGTGCAACTCCTGGATGACTTGAGTGTTCAAATATATGAGCCACTTGGGATGGCATTCTTACTCAGACCACAGTAGTATTTTCGTCAGGGGAACCTGGCCACCTCTTCATTCAAGGAATTCTTGGTCTACAGACTAGCCGAAGTCTGGAAAATAGTTCATGGGCAAAGATTCCCATTTGCCAGGATACAATGTAGCATTTCTTTCATTTGTTTGAGAATTTTTCTCTTTGGACAGATCAAACAGACATCCAGTAGGTATCTTGTCTGTTTCATGCCTGGAAGTCCCATGATTGATTAACCTGTACCAGTATGAGCCATGCCACCATAAAAATCGTTTGCCTGTGCTGGCCACTACGGTCAGGCCATCTATTCTGCCCATTGCAGTAGTTGCGATCACTTTGCCTTTGGTGATTCAGTTCTGGATCCTGCTACTTTGGAGCCCAGTTAAACCCACTGCATTTAATTTGTCCAGCTGAGCAGAAACATCTCCAGCCCTAAGGTGTAGCACAAGGAAAAGGACAATAGCAAAGCACTTCAAATGTGCTGATGCCCCTCTCACGGTTTTGTGTTTGACAGGATGGGTGAAGGCATGTCTTCGTGTTTTCCCGTTGTGGAGGATTAGTTTTTCTCCGTGTACCCACTGTAGCATTGCAATTTCCCTGAGCCTTAAA